CCGATCTTTCACAGGCGTGATGTATGTGATGTCTGTGTTTAAGAGTCATTTTGGCAGCGGATGCTTGTGCTTCATTGGAAAGCCTGAAAGAGACTGTAGGTCATAGGGCTTGGTGGGTTGTAGAGAGAGATTTATTTTCTGTTGTCTATTGTTATTGTTTTGTGTGTTCATAGGCACCAGGCGGTGTCCCAGTGTGGGTATGCTGCGGAAACAACATCTCCAGTATTTGAGCACAGCTTTTTGTGATTTCTCTCTCTCTGTCTCTCTCTGAAGGTATTAAGCTGGCATCTTCTCTGCCTCTCTTTTATAATAGGCTGGTATTGTTTTGGGCTCTTTTATTATTTTGGTGGCTGGTATTATTTTTGATTTCCATAAGTCTTGGTCTGTTGGCTTTGCTCGTCTTTTATGTTCAGCTGGAACAATGGCAATCCCCCAGCCACTGGCCCTACCCTCAATAACAATTCCCACAAATAATGACACTACCCCTAATCTGTGTGTGTGTGTGTGTGTGCGCCACTCAATGACAGTTTGGGGAAATCACATTTGAATCACAACAGATGAGTGATGACAGACAGAAATAGGCCCTGGGTGATGCCAACTGAAAATGTGTCATCCGTCCTCTCCCTCCTTTTCTCTCTTTGTCTCTTCCTTTATATATTTATATTCGGCTCCGCGTTCATGCAGAAACCCACAACTGGCATTTATTGATGGAAAAGCCTATTGTGGCCCATTTCTTTGACAAACACTACATTTCTGATCCCCTCAGGGATCATCTCGGGCTGGGAACCGAGAACCGGTTTTGTGAGCCAGTATTTGGGAATGAAACAGTCAAAAGTTAAAATACTAAACAAATTCTAAATTGAGTCAGAATCAGAAGTTCAGCATCACTCTTTCTGCTCATCTTGTTCCTCTGCTCTGTGCGTGTGTGTGTTGGGAAGGAAGCCCCACAGCCCTGACCCGCACCCCCCATACTGGCACCAGCTGTGGATCAATACTGGGACAGCTGGGGCTGCCACCCGCCTAAACACTACACACAAACACACCCTAAAGTGGATGAAGCTCCCGGTCGCACCCCCTTCTTCCTCGCGCTTCCTGGAAATGTCAGTCAAAGGAAGTTTGAGGTTCATTTTAGGTGTGAGAGCCTGCAGGGGTTTTGTGGCGTTCTCCTCTAACAGGGACACACAAATACACTACACACATGCAGATGAGAAATATCGAATATTGTCATCATTTGAAGTGTTATGTCTGCTATCCTCTCAGTGATGGTGTTAGATTGTCATCGTGTTAACAAAACAAACATTTAAGCACAGGTCACAGGCAAACATCTCCATGATTCACTGGAAAAATTGTAGACAACCCAAACATGCCATGGCATCATGGATGTTATCCAGAGCAATGTTTCTAATCACTTATTTACTGTTGAATATCTTGTTTTACAGTTAATGGTGTTTCAGAAAATGGCAAACATGTCAACTGGAGTTGGGCAAAATAATTTTCATTGTTGTAAACCGTTGCATTCTATATTTTATAGGCTTGCCATTTTGAATTTGTATATAGAATTGCAGTGTAGACATTGAACTGCACATATAGTATGCAGCAGTGTTGTTTTAGTATAATTTATATACTGTCAGTAAAGTATTATATTAGTATAGTATTAGTATAGCATTATAGTATTTATTAATATTTTGTATTAGCTTTTTATATTTTTATATTTTCATTATAATGTTTACATTTTTAATAATTTTGCTATTCGATTTGTAAATTTTATTAGTTTTTGTTCATTTTTTAAATATTTCTGTTTAACTTTATTTAAAAATATTTTTTTCATATTCATTTTAGTACTTTTTAAATTTTACTTACTAATTTATTTTAGTTACTGCCAAGACAAAATGTCTTATTTTCTAAGTTTTTAAGTTAAAAATTTGTATCTAGTGTTGAATCTTATTTAGGTTTTATTTCAATTACCAAGAACGATTAATACTAGTTTTAGTTGAAGCTAACAATAACCAATACAGTTACCTAACTTTAGTTAGCTAATACAGTGTGTTTTCTTTAACTTAATATAATCGCACAATGCTAATGTAAACACTTTTTGACACTTTGGTTTGATTGTCTCTGCTTTGGGATTAAATGGTGACAGTGGTTTAATGATATTTTGCAGGATATACACAAAACTTTAATAAAACATACACAAAGTTAACATTTTCCACAATATGTAGTCAAAATCCACGAAAAAAATCTGCTCACTGATATTTAATGTATGTTTTTGTTTTTAAACATTACAGTTTGACATTCTTCTCTCAGTAGAAGAAGTGTCTATATTGGTGTGCGTAGGGTGATATGCTCCTTAAGGGAGCAGCAGGGGGCAGCAGCCAGCCACCCTGGCACCTTCATCTCCCCTCTCCGCCAGGTATTTAGCAATTCTGTGGGTACAATAGCTGCGTATTGATAGTCATATCCCTGTGATAAATTAAAAGTGTCTTATTGTCTCTTTTCATTTTACACATTGTCATATTCCTGGACGGTAATCTGGGGTTCTGATTGACACCAGCAGCCAGGGAAAAGAACACCCTCATTGTTTGCGCTCGTCAAATCTGTTAAACCTAATTCTTCCCCGCATATTTGCATATTCTTAAGTATTTTTTCGGGGGAAGGACTAAATCCTTCTTAAGTGTTTGATGCATTTTGAAATTCATTCATAAAGGACCTACATGCACTATTAGCTCGGTATAATGCCAGTGCATAATCTCAGCGATAAGACACGCTTTGGAGCGCTGGATTCTTCAGGGATGACATGCTGTATTTCCGACCGATTCAACAGGGGCTCAAATGTCAACACAAATGTCAAGTGGCCTCGTTGGCGAGCGGTTTTAAATCTTAGACGCAGGTTTTTGCCCTCCCTTTTATCGTTTTCATTTACTGAAGGAGTCACAGAGGACAGTCTCCCGTCCCAGCTGGAGTGGGGGATTGTGGGTAATTTGTCTGGGTGCGAGATTGGCAGGTGGCACTGTTGTTTAGATCGGGTCAGCGCTCCATCGCTTTACGTCTCTGTCTGTGTTTCAGCCGCCGGCACGTGGTGTGTTCTTGTTCGACACCTCTGATGGTGCCGTTCATTCAGATTAATCACCTTCAGCAAACCGGAAGAAGGAAGACGGGTTAGTGTGCACTGCCCTTGTGAGTCGGCAGGTTTTTATGTGTGTGTATGGAACTGTATCGGGCATTTCTGAGACGAAAATAGTCGCTCTTCAGCTCTCTCAATCTTCCTGAGACTGCTCTGATAAGGGCTCGTCTTTACCTACGGGACCACTGATACATGCAAACACACACTCATGTGCCTGGGAGTGAGATTTCTATCTGGAGATCTATATGTAGTTGCTCCACATATGCACACAGGCAGGTGTATGAATGCAGGCTGTTTGACAGGTTGTACACAAGGCCTTCATTTCTCTCTCTGCTCATTTTGTTTTGGATTGCTCTGCACAACATGCCTGATGGGATAAAAGTGATGAGAGCATAAAGGAAGCTGTCCCTGCACTGTGGCCTGTGTGATGGTGTTGAAACATGTTTCACAGGTTGAGTGTGGTACTTTCATCTGGGAGGAAATTGCTGATACTTAGTCAGCAAGCTGAGAAAATGCTTTAAGAACAAAGACTAAACGTGATGATATTTTTTTGGCTTTGTTAAATAAGAGGAGGCAGGTCAGGAAATGTCTCCAACTGCGTTTCCGGCCTATCTGGCAAATGGTGGGCTAGTGTTTTGTTTTGTTCCGTTTTTATTAGATGTTGTCGCCCTAAAGTCATTTTGGCACATGGCTGGTGTCAAACCCTTTTCCTCTCATTCCTTTTTTTTTTAAACCATTATTATTATTAATTGTAGCACAGTCTGAATCCATAACAGAATTGATGTTTACTGGACTTCACTAACCATAAGCAAATCCAATGAATGGGAGAGCAGAATCAGGGCCAGTTCAGGTTTCCTTTCTAGTCCTTTTAGAATATTCCAGACTTTTACCTACAGGGGGCGCCATTGACCATTATGACCGGGCATGTTTGCTCTGCTGTTGTCAGAGGTGATAAACTAATACTGAGTTTGGTTATTTAAATTATTTAGCCAAATGAACACCTTTTAGTTCCAATATGACCTTTTCTTTGTCTGAAAAGTCGTTTGAAGGTTTACGTGATATATGCCTGTTAATGGCTTCCAAATGTAGCTTTATCTCAGCATAGAGAATTCGGTTTCATTCTGTTTGCTAGATTTTTTAGCATTCTTTTCTTTTAGAGTTCCATACTCCATTAAGACAGTCTACATAAACTTGTATGCACGTGTTCCAGGAGTGCTGTTTTCCCCTGGGGTGTGTGTGTGGGCTTTGTACATGTTAAAACAGGAGATGATTTTACCTGTAAGTGTGAGGATTAGCAACTTTCATTCATTCTTTTTGATTTTAGTTTTTTCTTAGTAAAGCACCACAGGGTTGTTTTGTCAGATGTGACCCTGGACCACAAAACCAGTCATAAGGGTAAATTTTTTGAAATTGAGATTTATACATCATCTGAAAGCTGAATAAATAAGCTTTCCATTGAGGTATAGTTTGTTATGATAGGACTATTTGGCCGAGATACAACTATTTGAAAATCTGGAATCTGAGGGTGCAAAAAAATCTAAATATTGAGAAAATTGCCTTTAAAGTTTCCAAATAAAGTTCTTAGCAATGCATATTACTAATCAAAAATTAAGTTTTAGTTTGTTTTGCTATTCGGCCCGAATCAGTTTTCTAAAGTGTTTTTGAAAAATCACATACCCTGCCTTTAAGACTGGTTTTGTGGTCCAGGGTCACATATGTATTTATTACGATTTGAAACTGTTAAAAACATATTGATGGCAGTTTATCAGATTTTTTTTTTCAATTAAGTGTTGGTAGCAATTGTAATAAATTAGTTTAATTTTTTCAGCTTAAGAAGTGTTTTAACTCTCTCTTTTTGTGTGTGTGTGTGTTATTTTAGGAATCTCCGTCAGGTCGTCGGAAAGCGTTGGCCACCAGCTGCATTAACATGAAGCAGTATGCCAGTGCCATGCCCACACAGACAGACGTCAAGCTCAAGTTCAAGCCGCTGTCCAAAAAAGTGGTTTCCGCAACACTGCAGTTCTCCCTGTCCTGCATCTTTCTGCGAGAGGGCAAAGCCACGTAAGAGCAGCCCACTACACCACCCACACCTCCAAAACCAGCTGACTGCACCCACCCTGAAGGAATGCTGCCACTTCAAATTACGCTCTTATTCCTTTTCTCTCTGTTCATTTCTTTCTTTTTTTGCCTCAGTGACGATACCTGACATTCCCAACATCCCTTTCCCCTCACATCCCTCTCTCCAGCCCTTCCTCTTTGAAAGTGACTGTGTGAGCTGTGCTTCATACATCGCTACACTATTGACAACAGACAGTGGGCCTTTTTGACCATGACATTTTGGTGAAATTTGCTAAACTGAACTTAAATATTTCACACACATTTTTTTGATGCAGATATAATATGATTCTGTGATTTAACACTTTGAGTGATCTTTTATTAGTTTGTCATTAAAATATAGTTCATTGGTCAGAAGTAATTGTGGCAATCAAATTTCTGTTATTATTAATTAATATTTATTTATATTATTATAGAAAATAGAATAGAATATATAAACAGAATTATTTTTTATTTGAATGTTATTATATTATTTTTATGCAAATTGCTTGTTCCCTGGGTGCTGTTGTTCAGAAAATATCAGGAAACACACATTTAAGACTGTACCTCACGTTCCCCTGGCATGCACTAAAATAAATCAAATCCTGTTGGAGAACTTCGCCCCAGCTTTTTGACATGCGCGTCACAACAAACAGAAGTCAGATGGAATGTTTCCAGCCACTGGCCTTGAGAGTGTAAATATCTTTCCTTCACTCGTCTCGCAATATCCACTTTTCCCTCTTTTTTTTCTTTCTGATCTCTGCCTCCCTCTAAATAAAGGAAGCAAGAAGTGTGTGTGAGTGTATGTGATTTCACCCTTGCGCTATATGAGATACGTGTATGTTTGTGTGGCTTTTGTGGTGTGTGTGTGACACAGGTTATGCAACGAAAGTGTAACAGCTCTTAACCCATGGGAATGATCTCAACAGCACACAAATAAACCCCATTACATAAGTTCAAATCAGCTCCATGCCTGCCAAAGAAAGACTGGACTGCATTCATAAAGAAGTGTGAGATAGACAGAGAGAACTCGAAGACAGGGACATTGGGAGGGAGAGAGGGAGTTAATCCAGGAGCGTTATCTTGCCGTGCTTGTGAATGCCCTGGCTGGAATGCATGTCCGTATTGCACTGCCTCTTACGAGCAGGACCATGAAGGCATTTCGTTTACACGTTCATCTTTCGCTCGCTCTCTCTGTCAACCTGGCTTTCTTCTCTTCTTCCGTCCATCTTCTTCTTTTTACACAAAATCACAGTGAATGGAAGGCCAAATTCACTCTTTACCAACAGTGTTGTCAGTGTTTTATTCAAGTTCTAGGGAAGGTGTTATCAAAAAAAAAAGTAAAAAAATTCTCAATTTTACTGTATTTACATCCATTTCAAATCCAATTCGCTTCAAAATGAGTGCAGAAAAATGCAAAAAAAATAAATAAATAAATAAAAGCCTCAAGTTCTGTCTGGGGCTGCTGAGTACTCTATATCTCATCTATGGTGAATTCATCTCATCTATGAATTGATTTCATCAGATTTATATAGTGCTTTTGTCTCTGTTACTTTCTGTGTGTAGTGATGAAGATATGCAGAGTCTGGCCAGTCTGATGAGCATGAAGCAAGCTGATATTGGTAATCTGGATGATTTTGAGGAAGAGAATGAGGAAGATGAGGAGAACCGAGTGAACCAAGAGGAAAAGTCCGCCAAGATCACAGGTGAGACCTGCTGAATTTCATCTGAAGACGCTTTGCAGGTGAATCTGATCATTCTTTCTGTTCAAAGGCAGTGATCTGTTGTTTCTTGATCTGTTCCTTTTTCATTATTATTCTATTCTGTTCTTTTCTTTTGTATGTAATAATCTGTTCTGTTTCTTGATTGGTTCTATTTATTACATTTTTTCCATTATTCATTTGTTTCATTATTTTTCATTAATTCTATTATTTTTTTCTATTCTGTTATTCCTAATGTTTCTTCTTTTTCAATTTTATTCATTACTTTATTTTATTATATTTGTTTTGTTTCTTGTTTTATTGTTTTTGTTCTGTTTCATGATCTATTCTTTTTTTATTGTTTGTTTCATTCTATTTTCTTCTGTTTTTTTTGTTTCTTATTCTGTTGTTTCTGTTCTTTTTGTTGTTCTTTCTATTCTGTTCTGTTCTATTTTATTAATTTTTCTAGAATTTAGTTTCTGATGGCTGCATGGTGCATTTGTATGTAGTGTATAAGCTAAATATTTATGTCTAAATTGTTATAAGAGAACAAGAATAGATATGTGTGGAGTTTTGGTCGCTTATAAATTTCAGCATGTCAGTGTTTGGTGTTCTCTTCAGGATTTCTGTCCAGTCTCAGTTCAGTTTCATTTGAGTGACAGTTACCTTTTTTCCTTTTGTGGTGTAATTTCTTTGTGTATGTGCACATATGTGTGCATTTACTTATGCCTATTGAGGCTTATGGCTGTGCTTGTTTACATTTGTTATGTTTTTGGTCATAGTTTATTAGCTGCTTTTTTTTAGGCTTTCATACACAACGCACTGCTTGATCTCTGTGTATGATAAGGAATGTCCACCCAATACATGTCCTGTGAGTGTATGTTCGTGTTTGCACGTGCATATGTCTATGTGTGCGCGATTGTGTGAGTGCGTGTCTGTGGGACTCTGTGATATAATCCAGCCTCCCATCACCCCCAAAAAGCTGGAGTCTTAACATTAAGCCCATGTGCTTTTATCCCTTTATAAGTGTATGTATGGAGCTCCTATGGAAATGCTTGAGTTGTTTATTCATCGTATGGGTTTAGGAATCTCTTTGGTGCCATAGAGATGACGTCCGATATGTTTTTCACAGTTTGTTAGAGCGAAGACGCAGTTTGGTCTCTTTTCAGAGAGACAAACCTCAACACACACACACACACACACACACACACAGATATTTCCTGAATGTATTACATACCTCTCTTTGCATTATACAGGTTAGCGTGTGTGTGTGTGTGTGTATTTGAGTGTGTATTGATTGTATGTTGTGCTGTTTGCAGAGATTGTGAGGCAGCTGAATGCTCTCAGCTCTATAGATGGAGATCCAGATGACTGCCTAAAGCAACCAAATAAACCTGCCTCCTCTTCTGAAGGTCTTTCCGCTTTCACCTTCTTTCATTCTTTTATTCACACTCTCTCACTGTTCTCACTCTCACTTTTATTCACTATCTGTCTTTTCCCTTCTCTCCTCTTTTTTTCCATCCCTGTGGTTGTGCTGTGTGTTATAGAGCATCCGTTTATTGATATTATTTTTTTATTATTATGCTATATTTTTTCTTATTTAGCGTTCTTCATTTGTGATCTTGTACCCTCGTTCCACCTTCTGCAGTTTGTAGTGAACCCAACTACCCTCTGAAAAACTTTGTTTCCGTATCCATGGAGTTGATGATCCTGAAAGACATGTCCTTAAAAACACCACTGGTCATGTGATAGAGTGCTCGGATGGCCTAATATGGGTCAGGGTGGCGTGGTGGAGCGAACAGAGACGCCACATCTTTCTTATCACCTCAGAGAGCACTTCACTCTGTCACCCTGCACACACACTGTTTTTTTTGGCCCACTGGCTCATGTTGTGAGTAAAAGTTCAGAATGAAACCCTGCATTAGCTCTTCTGGAACATACAGGTCTTTGGACCTGAAGGATCCTGGTGTGGTTCACTTCAAAATGCAGATGTCAACAATTTATTTATTGGTTGTTCATGCCAGAGTTTTGCTTTTATTCAGATTTTCACCCGATAATTCAGCGGTTGTCCTCGCTGATTGTTTTGGACTGATGAGTGATGTTCTCTTTTCTCTTCCTCCTTGTTCTGTTATCATTGTGGATGGATGTTGATGGTTTAGAGCTGATCAGTAAGTTGAACTTCCTGGATCAGGAGGACCAAGAGCAGAGCAACATGAGCTCTAACCTCTTCGATGAACCTAATGACCCGGTTGACCTTAACCCCTTCGGTGACCCGGATGAGGATGGTAAGGAGTGACTCTTGACTCTTTGTATGACCCCTTTGCCCCTTTATCAACAGGGCAGGTTGTACTCATTAACAATCTGAGACACGTGACGATGTATTAAAGGGTTAGTTCACCCAAAAATGAAAATTAGCCCATGAATTACTCACCCTCAAGGCATCCTAGGTGTATATGACTTTCTTCTTTCAGACGAATCCAGTCGGAGTTACATTAAAAATTGTCTTTGATCTTCCAAGCTGTTTAATGGCAGTCAGCGGGTGCTGCAGTTCATCAGTCCAAAAGAAGTGAAATTAAGCGCATCTATCCATAATAAAAAGTGCCTCACACGGCTGTGGGGGGTGAACAAAGGCCTCCTGTAGCGAATCGATGCGCTTTTGTAAGAAAAATAACCATATTTAAAATGTAATAATCAATTTAATCTAGCTTGCACTCACTGTTGTACATGGAAGCAGCTCCGGGAGGATGACGTAAGATGTCGGCGTTGCGCATGCGCGCTTTTGTAAGAAAAATAACCATATTTAAAATGTAATAATCAATTTAATCTAGCTTGCACTCACTGTTGTACATGGAAGCAGCTCCGGGCGGATGACGTAAGACGTCTGTTTTGCGCATGCGCCGCTCAGAAGTGACGAACACGGAAGCGCAGGGGAGAGATCAAAACAAAACAACGGTCACGAATAGGCATTGGACGATAACCGGTTTGAAGGTATACCGCGGTTTGGAAACGTCACGGTTTCAAAACCACAAAAAATTTTCGTTATACCGTTCCTGCGGTATGCACAGTTTTTTTACGTGTCGTCAAAGACGGAAAGTGCAGGACTCCCTCAGTTGTGTGCAGCGAAGAGCGTAGCGAGTCACACGACCCCTCCCCCTCTGGTTGGTGCGAGCAGTCAGTGAGAGTCACCGGTGTGTAGGATGGCCGAAGGAGATGAATCCCTGGAACTTTT